AGCTTAAAGCTTTACAAAATAACAATAACAATAACAATAACAATTCGAATAATAATGTCTGTTAATAAAAACTACGCCTGTTTAACTCAATAGACTCATTAAATCGAAAGAAATGTTTAAGATTTAAGCATTAAATCTTATTTTTTTGCCTATATGCAATGCAAAGAAGCTCACAGCTTTAAAATTCTTAATGAAACTCAAATGGAACTAGTCCATAGCTTCAATGAGCTTCCAAAGCTCATTTCTTAATGATGTCACTTTCAATTTAGGTAGTAACCTGAAGTAAATCTTATTTATGCTTGGAAATTGATTAATCCAGAAAATCTATTGGAGAAGCTCATATATGCCGCACATGCCGCAGCTGTCAGCTGATGGCATCTCCCGCTATTTTAGTGCCATCACCTAAAGGCCGCACTTCATTGCCTTGACTTGGCCAATTGCCGTTCGCTATTTCATTTTATTTGTATAACATTTATGGAGCCCGAGCTCAGCGTCTGCCACACAGTAGTACAATCCCATATTTTATTTATATGCCAGCACATTCGAACTATGAAATAACCACGAGTCTGTTTGCCATTTCGTGGTCAATATATGTATACATATATATAAGTTTTTATATATATGACTGACCCACATGGCAGCGAGGTCGTAACTGCCAAACGAAGCTAAGGAGTGCACTAGTTGGTTGTCAGGTGGCAGCCATATTTATTATTGTATTGCAGAACACAAAATGACCGCACAGGATATGTACATACTTCCCTGACTGACTGTCTATCTGGTTTGTTTGTCTATTCAAGGCTGTTTAATTGGAGCAGCTTAAAATATAGCTTCTAAAATTGTATTTAAGAAAATACACAAACTATTGTAGCTACTCTTCGATACCAGTCGAAGCAATCAGTTATCCAAATCAATCAAGAGCAATACAGCACAAATGTAATCAGAAACTTAAGCCAACAAAATATGCTTAGCTAAAAGATAATCTGTATGCGAATAAAATGTTAAGCACATGACTTATGCAACTAAGCACTTATATTCATAGAAGACTTGTCATAATTTATTTGAAATTTTGCAAATTAAATATGTATATTTATCAAATAACTTAGATACTTACCATAAACATATATCACTCAAAGATTCCATCTACCAACACACAACACCAAATCAATCATACGACATGTGAGACAACGCAAAAGTCAACCAAACAGAAGGAAACAAAAATTGAAAACGAAATATATAATTTAACTGCAGAGCTGACTAGCTGACAAAATGCAAAACGATTTTCAGCTCAGAGTGTCAGACTGACAGCCTCCTTGAGCTTCCTACTCTCAGCTACTCGTTGGTATTTGCTGAGAAAACATTTATGTAAACTTTCATACTATAAGAATTTCATTGTGCATAGCTGACTCTCTGTCTATTCTATTATATCTGTCTGACTGCATATCTTTATGACCGAGTTTGTTTTATAGCGCCAGCACGAAAGCGACATTTGCCAATATGCTTCACAGTTGTGGCTTGTTGCCCCTTCATCCTTGTTAGCGCGCCGCAATTTGTGTTCGTCTATTGAGTTGAAGCTTTTTATATGCCAGCTGCATAGTTTTATACTTTATCAACCACAGACTCCTCCTCAGATACCTTTCCTAGCTGCCTATTTGTGTTTTCTTTTCATTCTCTATTGCCATAAGCCTTATTTTATTCGTCACAGTAATGTAATAAAGATATCTCATTGTCTCAAAAATCTGTCCGTTCAAAAATACTCGATTAAGATTGTTTACAAATGAAATAAATATGAATTTTGCTGAATTCAGAATTAATTTTTTTTTTTTTTATTTTTGTTTTTTTTTTTATATCAGAATTAATAAAATAATATTTTTAAAAAGAACAAAAATGCATAAAAACTCGTAAGTAATTTTTTGTTTATTAAACATTAAATAAATAGTTTTTAATGTTTTTTTATTTTAAGGAAGAATATATTTTTTATTATTTTATTTTAAGCAGTAAATCAAGTAAATTATAAGCGTATTTCACTTTAAAATTTCATTTAAAATTCTTCAATTATGATTTGTTGAATGCCCCTGGAAGTATGCAACATATTTCTGGTGCATGCATTTTCAGTAGTGCATGTGTTATTTTTATAAAACTGCAGCTACATTAGACTAGATCGAAATACATCGCTTCCATTCTATAAGCCCACTTTATGTGTTTTGCAATTGCCATTACTTCCTTTTCTCATTACCCTTTTTGGCAAATCTCTTTAGAACTCATTTCCATAGCAGAACATTTATTTGAAAAATTATTGAGCTGCTCCGTGAAAGGATTTGCACAACAAACATCAACCTGGGACAGTTTTTAGCGCACACATTTGCCAGCTTCGATATGCTCCTCTTGTCTAACATATATATAAATATATCTGTGTGTATATGTTGATAAGCCTGTTGTGGCCTAGTTGGCCAAATGCAAGGCAAACTTATAGGCCACAACCCCTTCCATAAGCTGGATACAAAGCCCACAAATTCGAGTCATTCGGCTGCCAGAGCTTACATTTTTGGCCCATCCTACCTGGCCGGGGCCGAAACCAACAAAATATGTGGCCAATTATAGGTAAAACAGACGTTTTTACGTGCAGTTTGTTTTTCGGTTCCTTCGGCATCCTCTTCATGTTGTTTTTCCGGTTTGCTGGGCTAATTTATGACTAACAATGGCTGCGGGCATTATTTTTGGGTCTAGTCGCATTGTGGTTCAGTATAATCATTCGCCATTAGTCAGCTGCGATTCGCTTAATCGCCGTCGGGCTTTCGGTTACTTCAAATATTTAACGCATATGTAGCATTAGCAATGAAAATTATTTAGAGCGCATTCTAAAGGGCGGCACGTGCTAAGCAAATCCCCAAAGCATTCTAAACAAAATACGAAAACGAGAATTTCTGTTATGCCACACGCAAACATATCTAATTCTAGATCAAGTAGGGCATTTTATTCACCTCTCACTCCCACTCTAGGGAGCAATAGATTTCGCAATTCTTTGTTGTGAGGCATTTACATACTTATTACAAGACTTAATCTGTAAGCTTAATTCACTCATTTAATACTTTATCAATTCAAATTTGCAATTTTTCCTTTTTATATAAATATAAATAAAATTCATAAATCATGATAAGTAAATAACGAATTTCAAAAGCACGCCAGAAAGCTTATAGAATATAAATTTTAGTAAATTCGCGAAATAATTTTCGAGCTGACACAGCAATTATGTATATATGCTATATGATATCCCACATCATAAAATCCGTGGTTCACTTAGCATAATTAAATCCATCAAAATGTATTTTCATACTGATATGTGCGAAGCTAGGGCAATTCATTTAGAATGTGGCAAACGGGATTTACGCATAGCGGCTTTAAAAAATAAGATAAATAAAAACCTGGCTAAAATGAAACAAGAAATGGCAAATACTTTTTGCATGCCATCATGGTAGAGATCCATTGCCGATGACAAAATGCTTTAGCACACAAGTGACTTTGAGATACCCTGTAGTCAATCTCAAAGTGCTATATTTAGGGTATCATGGGGTGAAATGATAATATGACGATATTATGATAAGATGATATGATTTTAGGCGTTATAATTGTCTCGAAATAAATGTGTTAAGCTTTAATTTTAATTTATTTTTTATACAATTTAAAGCTTTTATGAATCAAATGCTCTATATTATTAATTTTTATACAGAGTATCAACACAAACAAAAACAATGCCGATGTCAACGTTGTCGCAAAGACAAAAACTAAACTTTTTTTGCCAAATATACGACAGGCAGTGAGAAGGAAAGACAGCCTGAGTGGGGGAAAGAGAGAATCAGCTAAAAAGGACGAATGGAACAGGCTAACAATAACAACAACAAAAATAGAATGTCAAATGTTGTCGCTGTTCGTTTCTTGGCCGGCTTGTCAACGCCAACGTTGTTGCTGTTGATATTATTATTTTTGTTGCTATTGTTGTTGTTGAAGGCAAATATTTGTGCAGTCAAATAAAATATATAAGCATACATACATAAGCAAAATAAATTGTTGGAAAAAAAAATTTGATTTGAAATTGAGGCAGCAGACAGTAGAGGTCAAAAGTTGCGCAACGCACGAGCTTTGCATAGAGCTCGACTCGCATTTTTATATGTATATATATGCAAGCATTATCAACTATTTTGATGATGTGTTTATCAACTGTCAGAAAGCTGACAATAAGCCAAATGGATTTCTCGACCAGGCTGGCCAAACAAAATAGTGCCGCAATATTTGCATTTTTTATGTAAATACATATTTCCAGCACAAATAGCGGGAGAGCAAATAAAGTGAGAGAAAAGAAATTTTCATATTATGCATAATGAAATGGTTTTCTGAGGGCTCAAGTGATAAAAAAACACTTTACATTTCTCATTTCAGCTCATTTTAGCTCATTTTATCTCATTTCTCATCTCATTTTTTGTTGATCTGAAGACGAGCTGCGACCAATACGATTCGCCCGTCTAAATAAATGCAAATCGACAAAGACGAAAAAATAAATATGATAAAATTTATGCAAGAAAGAAATAAAAGCAAAAACTTGTCGTTTGTCATAAAATATGAAAAAAAATCATTTAAAAGTATTTGATTTTTTAACTTTTATTTAACTGCTTGGAAAAATCTAAAATATTTATTTGCAAAACTCTTAAAAACTAAGCTCTACATTTCAAACGAAGAACCAGAAGAAATAATAAAAACTGGCTAGAAAATGTTGCCATTTGCAGTCATTAAACTGACGATAGCTATTGAAATTTAGATGTGTCTCAAAAAGTACCCAAACGCACAATTTAACAAATTCGCAAAGCCATTAAAAATCATTTGGCAGATACAAAGGTTTATTTACAGATATAACCAAACACTTTGTTCCAGCATATATACATATATATTTATTTGCTGTTTATGTGTTGGCTAACGCCAAAAAGTATGCTAGAGCATAAATTAACACTTACATTTTATGTGTGCACAAGCCGGAGCATGAAAAAACAACAGCAAACTTGAGCAGACTTGAGAAACCAGATGCCAGACGCCCAAGTGACTTGGCTGCAAAGATAAGAAACATGGTGAATAAGTTAGTCAACATATATATATATATATACATAGAATATAGAATATATATATATATATAGAACGAAGTAAAAGATACACAGCGAGCCAAGCTGGGCACTCAATTAGTTTTATTTGCTGTTCTAGTTGCGCCCAAAGGTCCAAAGCCAGAAAGAAGGAAAAACAAGTTAATGTTTATTTTCATTTGGCAAGATATTTTCAGATATTTCAAGCGAAATTAATGCTCACATTGCGCAGCCTTCATTTGTTTGTTTACTTATGGCTTTTGACTAACCATCGATGGGCGCTGTCACAAGTCGTTTAAGCACTTAATTTGTGTGTTGAACATACATATATAGTGTAATTCCTCGACTAACGTCGCCGGCAGAACGTGACACAGGCACCCAAACAGGACACAGAACCACATTTAAGCCAAGTTTTGTTGCAGACGGCGTTACACTCAATAAGCTGCAGTCGCACAGAATTTAAATGTCAAGCATAAGCATGAAGCATCAGAAAAAATGTGATAGGCTAAAACATACTCCGCACATGGATATGGATTTGGAATAAATGTTTTAGCTTCGTACTTTTTACAAAATTCGTAAATAAATGAAAAATATAAGCCTAAACTGTGGCGGTGATCTAAGACTTTAGATAATTTAAATATTCTTAGAATTTTTCCATATTTGATTTTAATTATCTTTTTATTGATTTTCAAGAAATCGACTTTTCACTAAGTTTTTGATGTGCTGAATCCAAGTGCGAAGCAGAGCAGCAGCATTAAGTCAGTTTTCCGAGTCTGTCTCATCTATAAGGTTATTCCTAATCGGGTTAAATATAATATACTAAAATGCAGTTCCATATCTAAGACAACAAATTGTCCACTTCAAGCAATTTTTCCCCTCTTTTAAATATCTTTATTGACCAACGAAATATGGTTTATAATTAGACTTAGTAGAGTCTTAGATTAGGCATTGTATTCGACAAAAATATAAGAATTTATTAATGTCAAACTATAAGCTCAAGTCACTTCTCAGATGGCATTTCATAAAGAAATTGTTTTATATTTGTCAAATTTTCTGTTAAATAGAAATTGGAATATAACAAAATTAGTTCATAGTACACAAAAATATTTTAGTTAAATTTTTATCTAGATTATTCATTAATGACTAAATTACAAATTACTATACAGAAGAGCTGTCATAAGAAAATTCACATTCGATCTAGTTGACATTTAGCTGTTTAATATACCCCTAAGCACACTTCTAAATACTTTAGGGTATATAAAAAATAAAGGCAACCACTTAAAAAAGCAAAGAAAAAATTCGCACAAGTTTTGCGGTGGACGATTTTATCTGCAGCGTGGAAAATCCTTTGCTTGGCACAGAAAAAGGTGTTGCCCGCAACCGGAACGCGACAGACGAACGCCAAAAGCAACACAGACGGTCCGATCCACCGTCCACAGCAACGACCCTAAGCCATCCCAACCAGCCAAACCACACAAAACAGAAGCAGCCTGGCGCATTGTTGACTCGTCGTCTTGAGAGAGGGTTGAATTGGGTTGGACCGGGGATTGAGTTGGATTCGAGCTTTGGGTTTGAGTTTGTGTTGGGGGTTAGGGGCTGCTTGCTTGCGATTATGTGTGTCAAGTGGACGCCGCTTGGGTGCACCCAGCCAGGACATTCGGTTCCAGCTTGCCGCGACTCGCTGCTGCTCTGTCTCTCTTTCAGTCTCTCTGTCTGTCTGTCATGTCATTCATTTGGCTCGTCTTGTGGCAGGTCAAAAGCAAATCGCTAAAGTTTACGCCAGTGCGTGGTTAAGTCCTTGGCGTTGCTTGTAAATAAACAGAGCACAGCAGGCAGCCATGTTTTGAATATGATTTAATTACTGCTAATTGCTGCCCTGTACTAATTAGTGAGAAAAGAAACTCCCCATCTATTATTCCCGAACTCTGTCTTTGCTTTTGCTTCTTTGCTCCGCCTTTGTTATTGTTGTGCAAATGCAAATGAAATTGGGTGTGAATGGAATAGCTAATGAGAATTTGCTTTTGGCACGGTTACACTGATTGACATGTCTAAGACACAGCTTGTCTCTTGCATACGATTTCCATTTGATTGCCTAGAGCAAGTCAATTGAATCGAGTGAAAACGTAAATGTTAACTAATTGCTTCTATGAGAGAGTAAGGCTTGCCTATATCTGATATGTCCTACAACTCAAAACTTAGTTCAAGCTTTTGAGAAACAACAAATTCCCTGACTGCAGCTCTTGAAGTTGCGAGGAACAGGCAATCCAACTAACTTCACATATACTCAACGATTATTAATATAGTTTTTATTTTATTATTTTCATCAAATTTCGAAATTGTAGCTTGGAATACTTGAAGCATTACACAAACTAGAGCAAGTTGTGGCTTTGATGAAACTTCATATCAAACTTTTGTGGTTACTGAGCTCAGTTAGATGATAGACCATATATATATATATATATATATATATATATATATATCATATCTAGTTGTTATTCGGTTATTTTTATATATATATTGCCTCGTAAAATGAAAAGAGTATATTAGTTGAGCACAATATTCTAAGCATTACGACGCTATTAAAGCTAGAGAAATTTGGAATTTATATGCTTGTTGGAAGAGTTTAGATTTTACCGATATGCCCACTATAATGTATATTATAAATTATATTATTCATAATGACAGGCCTCGATTATGTTACTGTTGACTTCGTTTATTGATTAATCAAAAATCACAAGAAAAACCTTTCATATTCCCGAGTTTTTCAACTTAAATCAAACATAGTCCAATCAAATTCCGTCCATTGAGGCATAACAAATTCGAAAATAATAATCTTTTAATACACCTAACTTTTATGAAACGCGAACGAGTATTACGCAGTCAGTCTGATTAGTATCTTAAAAGATAAACTTTTCTATCTATATCAAATATCGATGTAAGCAGAATTTGTTTTCAATGCTCTAATGACGTCAAATGTAGATCATTCGATACGCTTGTGATAATCTGATGCGTGTTAGCGGCTTTACATACCCGTCTACAACTACTTCCGGTATAGACATAGAACACGCCACACCAGAATCAACAAACCTTATCACAGTCAAATGGCAATTTGGGCCGTGGCTAATAAATCATTTCTTCTATTGGGGCTAAGCGCAGATTAACGATGAAAATAGCTATAAAACAAAACCATAAATAGACACGAACCTGACGGTTTGGTCACAGTGATAGTGAGTGAAAAGTTGTACCCAAATGACAGCTACAACAGCAGCAGCAGCAGCAGCAACAGCAACAGCGACAGTGACAGCGGCAACATTTGATAAGTGTACACGTGGAAAACAATAAATCTCCATTAAGTTGAGCTGCTTTCATTAACGGGTTTTAGGCACTACAACAGCGCATGGATAAGCACATGTACATATATATATATTCATATGGCACATAGTACACACGTGTACGTAATATCCACAGATGACAAGTTGACACTAATACACATACTCACACACACACACACACACACTCACTTACGGGCTGTCAACGTTTCATGCACCTGTCGTAAAAATATTTGCGCAAAATATTTTAAGCCGCATTTTGACAAAGGACCCAAAACTAGTGCACAACCTTAGCACAGGTGAGTGCAGGGGTGCTGTAAGAACTACCAGGTGTACAGACTCTCTGACCAGCTTCTGTCCACAGGACATCGCTTTGCAAATATGACAGCCATTGTTATTTCATGCCATGGGCCGAGCCGAGCCGAGCTTATCTCCGTTGGCCTCTGCAAGTTGTCTAAACAAATAGGCGTTGCTTTTCGCCCCGCCCCAGCACTGGCAAATGGATTATGCAACAATGCTGCAACAAATGTTGCCACAAAATGTTGTACAAAATATCACAATTTTGCGGTCGGCTTTTATGCACCAGTCTAAATAATATTAATATCTGCCGATTTTGACGTGGCAAATTCAATAAATTCTGGCAAAATATTTATAAAGCTCTGCGAGTTTATTTTGAAAACTTAAATATAAATGGATTCAAATTTTACAAAATACGACTTTTGTTTGCCTTGATCTCATCGTACAATATTTTGCAGTCTAATCTATTTGGGGCAGACCCATTTATTAATTATAGAAAGTGCATCCGATTTTGTCAATAATTAAATATGCACCGTCATCTTCACCTTCATTTCAATATCTATATCTATATCTATATCTATATCTATATCTATATCTATATCTATATCTATATCTATATCTATATCTATATCTATATCTATATCTATATCTATATCTATATCTATATCTATATCTATATCTATATCTATATCTATATCTATATCTATATCTATATCTATATCTATATCTATATCTATATCTATATCTATATCTATATCTATATCTATATCTATAACTTTCCCATTTCAGTGAAGTCGATTGAAAGGCTAATCAAACTTAAAGCTCGCTTCGATACTCAGAGTATATATTTCAGCCGGATACTTTTTAATTAAGCATTTCTATTTAATTTCAATATTATCCAATTTCTTCACAAAAAAACAATCAAATAACAAATTAGCTGCAAAGCCAAGTAATCCGTTTCACAATGCAAACACTTCCATAACTCTTGGGTAATTTGAAGTAAGTCGCTTCAATCAAAAACTTCACACCCCCACACACATACACAGACAATTGACAAACCAATTGACAAGTCACTTAATTGTGGCATTAACCACAAAACATGTTGACGTAGAAATGGGGGAAGCATGCTTTTTGGGGGGCATCAGCCAAAGGGTTGTCAAAAAACTCCCCAATGAAAATTAAGGGCAGCATGAAAATTTGATTTTTTTTTTTGCAACCGCAAACAGACAAAAACAATTTACAGCAGAGTAACCCTTTCGATTTGACGGGTAACTCAATTAGCTGTGGTTTATATATATTATATAATTATAGGTATAAAAATAGATATATAATTCTATACATACAA